ATCCCCCATGCTTAAAGCAATTTGCAATGGTTTTTCGGCTAACTTTTTGCCAAGCTCTATGAATGAAATTGACTGCATCTAAGAGATTTATAGAAGATGTTTCATTTTTATCGATCGCCTCTAACGTTTTCATGAGAATAATTTTTCACCGGCTGACTCTCCTACAATTTTTCCGCTACTGATAGTATGCCTCTTCTTGAAACGCTCTTCCAAACTCCTTGTTTTTGATTTTACTCCCCATTTCACTAGCATATTCTTGCAAAACACTGCCACTTATGGGAATGTTTTCTTGTCTTTTTTGAGTAAACCACTTTTGTCAGTCCCTTGTCAACCTTTTCATGAGCAGATAATTTTAACTTCCTACATCTAACATTTGTTTTGTCATACGCTGATAAAATGTTTTCTCTGTTTTTCCATATTGTTGCAACAGTAGACTTTCCAAGTGCTAATTCCTTACAACTGTCACTCTGCTTTACTCCACTTGTTATTTTGTTAATAATCTCGTACTTTTCATTTAGTGAAAAAGCTTTGCGTTTTTGTTTTTCCATTCTAAAACGATTTACATATATAACGCGGCAAAAAACAACAAGTTACTGCCTGTCTCGCTCTCACTAATATAAACAACTCCGCACGATTAGTGTTGCTGAGCGTGGAAGTTCGTTATAAACGGAAAGTGAATATACAACTAACCTAAAAAGTGATCGTTATATCCGGAAGTTATAAACGGGTTCGTTATAACCAGTAAAAAAATACGTTGGTCTTTATGGACGACGTTTCAATTAAAAGGAAAAAGTTCGTTTTAACCGAAAGTTCACTATAACCGGGATCATTATAAGCGGACTTTACTGTATATCTAAAAATGGTAACTGCGAAGTCACCATTATTTACTGCATTTCCCTAGTGAAAAGTCATATTTGTCTCCCTAGGTAAATAATAATAAAAAAGAGTACCTGGGTAAATAATGAAGTGTGTGTCAGTATTTCGTTATTTTTATGTTTCCGACCCGTCTAAGTTCAGGTGAGACGTGTATTCGCGCGTTCAACTACCGTTGGGGGCGCTGTGAAACGTCAAATTACTCGTTGCCGAGTGACAGTTCAGACTTGACGTCAGTCTTGTCTACCTATGGAAGTTGGTAAACAAGCGAAAAGTGAGAGTTGCAATTGTAGCAAAATTGAACGTGAATTAATGAATTGAATGAAAAAAGAAATGAAAACTTGCAAAAGTTGATTAGAACAAAACATCAGTGTGACACCAATGTCGGCAAAGGAAATGTCAAATTACTAGTTAACTTGTAGTTATAATTTTAACCACCAGGGAGCGTTTGCACTTTTGAACTCGCGAATAGATGGAATTCCATTTGGACTAAATGGACTAAATCACTGTCACTTTAAGATTCACTAATTTTTCGCTTGTCGTAGACGTTTTTCATCGAATTTTTATGTTTTCTGGAGACCGATATATTGCGGCAGTTTGTTAACTAAACGTCAAGCTATCAAATATTGCGATTCGCGAGATCAAAGTCCAAACGCGATCCAAAAAAGGCGACGTCATGTGTCAGTCGATTTCGCAATTAAAAAAACAGACAAAACTAAAGGCTTGTTGAGACGGTGACATCTAATTCCGTGACAGCTTTCGACATTCGATGTCATGGCACTAGGTGTTGACACTGACTAACACTTAGTGACGCGCAGACTCTTGTGAAAATGACGCAACCCCTGGCAGCAGTAGCGGATGTGTTAGAAGAAGTCATTATGTTGAAATTGAGGCGAAAATTAAAAAAAAACTAGTACGGATGAGAGAGTAAATTATGCGTAGGAACAAACTAGGGGCATCAACAAATCAACGTTTTCAAAGTTAAAAATATTTAGAAGCGCTTCTTCTGCGCGGTCACCGTCACAGTCTATCCTGATAATCGGCAATTGATTTATCTTTATCCCATAGACATGGGTATGATTACTGAAATTCTAGAAATGTAATCCTCAAATCCTTTGATCAAATCGATTGATAACCTTCAAGAAATGTCAAAATGTCACCGAGACATCGACAGTGTCGTGCAGCCGTATTCGCGAGTTCAAAGGTGCAGACGCCCCCTGGTGGCTGAAATTATAACCACAGTTAAGTAGTAATTTGACACTTTGTTGTTTGTTGACATTGGTGTTTACATATGAGTGTGATTTGTTGTGTTTTGTTCTAATCAACTTTTGCAAGCTTTTAAAGAAATAGAAACAGATGTGTAGATATATAGAGATAATAGAAAAGTGTGTAGGTGTTGTTTTATGTTACAAATGTCATCAGCTCCAATAAGTAAACAAGTGTCAACTGTCACTCGACAACGAGTAATTTGACGTTCATAGGTTTTCTGTGCGCTCCCCTCATTAGTTGTACTCGCGAATATCAAACAATTTTGATATGTGACAATAACGTCACGACACTATGACATTGCGACATTCGGGTGTTCAGACAATGACATTGTTGTGGAATTCACGCCACGACATGTATATCACCGTGTGAACGAGCTTTTAAACTCTTGGCTTTTTTCAACAAAAAAACAAAACTGGAACCCATATTTGCATATCTGAAACGGCTCTTTGGAGACAAGATTTGGATGAGCTTGACGTAGAAATACAAAGTCGCCCAAACTCTTTAATGGTCGAGTCAGTTGATGAATATGGGAGTTCCACATGTACATGGCAACCAGGGGCAAAGCAATGCTAAACTTGCCGAAAGCTGCGTAGTGCCACCTCGAAAAAAAGGAGAAAATGTGTTTAAGAACAACAGGAAATCTGTCCAAAGTCAACCTTACTTGAAATCAGCAAAGCAAAGAGAGAGAAATGTAAAGAAACCATAAAACTTCAGTTGCTTGTCGGAAAACTAAACTCAGTTCAAGGTAAAGGAGTTATAGATTAGAAATCCTTCTTATCAGCGTTCTGCAAGCTGGCGCCCCATCCTCCATTTTCAACCCATTATTCTTCAAAAAGTTGGCCACACTTTCACAAACTACCGGACTTGCCACGGGCCACAATGATTCTATAAGATTCTACAACCTAAGAACGCGATTCACACGACACATCGACGGATTTAGTTCACTATCGGTAGCAAACCAAACATTTATACACCTTTTCGAGAAAAAAAGACACCGAACCACAGAATAAACATGATTAAGTATTTACTCATTTGCGTGTTCACTCTTTCGATGATGCATTGTTCTGCTCTTGCTTGGCAGTTCGATCTTAGTTGGTTTATTGTTGACATTTTTGTAGAAAGTGGCTGTTCGCATTGCAACATTTCCAAAGGCAACTTTCACGTTCCAACTAAACGGAAAACGCCCCAAGCACCAATCTTTTACTAATTTAATTTTAAATTTAGAGTCATTTATATTTGTATGAAATCACTTAAAAATGAAACTGTTGCTCAATTTGCGAGAGATGATAGGAACCAACGAAATTTCAACTAATTAAAAATGCCCTTTAAAAGTTCTGATTTCAAGAATTAGTCCGTCACAAGCGCAATTCGAGGTGCGTCGTAGTGAGGCACGATTAGCTATAACTCACCAACTCACAGGGCGGCATCAACTCAAAAGCGCTCAACACAGTGTTACCCAGGCCTACTCCCAGATAATAACTTCATATTTGAAAATTTATTTCGCAGGATTACTAATTTCCGAAATATTTCAGCGTTTTCCAGCGATTATATGGTTCGTCCACCATAGCCGGACTAAAAAGTAAGGAACAATTTGTAAAATATGGTAAATTTGGTGATTTCAACAGATGAATGCGGAGGAAGCGGTGGCGAGCCAGATAGTGACGAAGACGTCGTCACTGACTATCACGCCGATTTCGACGCAGTCGCTGGCGACTCCAGGATGTTGCCGGCAGCAGCCCCTCGACCGCCGGCGGGCCCCCTTCCCACAATCAGTGTCACCCCGCATTCCCCAGCGGCCGCCCCCCGAACCTACGCCGTCTTGGAAGACAGTCTTCAACAAGTTCGAGAACTACACGAATCCGTACAGCTTATGAGGAACGCGACAGCTTCAAGTACTGGTCAGTTTAAGATTCTAAACAGCTGTGTTGAAGATTGTCCCAATCACCCAACGCCCGGCAACATTCTAAATAATTGCCCGTTTTGTTCGGTTCCAGGTTTTTCGCATAACTCAAGAGAATTCGCTGCGTTTACGCTCAATCCGCTGCTGGCTCAAGTGGCTCGATTGAGCGCCAGTTGCCCAGCTCTGAACGAAGCCGGCCAGGAACCCGATGCATTTGGCGGCTCTTTAGGTTCTTCGCCTTTGCATCAACCGCCAAGCCGGAAAGGAAGCGGTGAGTTTCGTTTTCTCAAACATTCAGTGGGCGGCTCGAGTTCGCCCAGACCTCCACTGGGCGATATTGAGCCTCAGTAGTGAGAAGAAGGTTTTTTAACAGGAGCTCAAGACTGGCTGGTTCAACCAGAAACTCAAAGGAGAAAATCATGGACTGCCCTGGAAGACTTATCGAATACCGGAAAGATGAAGCATGCACGGCAAAGGAGGTACTTGGCCAATGTTACTCAGTTTCGGCCAGTTTTAAAAGAGAATCTTTTGTCAGTATATCACTAAGTTCAATGGAATCAGAAGCAGACGAGTCATCGTTGATCGACAACGTTGATGGGAGTACAGTGAGACTGTTGGGGCCGGACGCTCCGATCATCATCAGACACAGAGCCAGAGTTTCCACAGGGGGCGCCAGCACTCATTCCCTCAATGAAGCCGATCTGCAAGTACGCATCAAGCTCGTTTATTGTTAAGCTCTATTATTAAGTCTTTGCTTTTGGGCCTAGAATGACTTCAATAAAATCAAAGCCAAGAGGGAGGCTGAACATATCAGACTGTTGCCTCAAAGGCTGCCTCTGCAAAAGTCGGTTTCCACGCCCTCTATAATCGCCGTTAGGGAGCTGGCGCCTGAACCGGTCCTTGTTGGAGTCCCACCCACATTACCCTTGTGAGTTTCTCATTTTTGAGTAAAATGAAGTCGGTAGATTTTCCTTGGTGTGTAGGGGCAGACCGAGCGGAACAGAGAGCGAAACCGAAGAAGAGGGCAGCAGATCTGGACATATGCCTCATTATGACGTTCACTACAAGCAGCATCTACATGAGTGAGTAGTGGACTGTCTGTTTTTTTTATTATTTTTGTCATTATAAACGAAACCATTTTCCAGTATTCCGTACGATCGTCATTCGGAGAAAAGGCGAAAAAGAGGAAGCTTATTCTTCAGGAAAAAAAAAGTACGTTCGCCAATTCCAAACAAGTGGTTTTTTTAACAGGGCATTTCCAGGATAAAACCAAGAAGGCTTCAACCCACCAGTGGGTTTCGGCCTGCTATGGTTCTTCGCACATTTGCGACGTTTGTGCCAAACATTTGAGCAATAAGCCTGCTCTATACTGCGAAAGTACGTAGCTTTGCCGATCGTTGATATTTTCACTATTTCCGTGATTTATTTTCAGTTTGCGGCACGACTGTGCATCAAAACACCTGCAAGGACAACATACTCGAATGCGTTAGCGTGAAGATCAAAGGCGCCAAAGTAAGTTAACTGCTTCAAGACTTTGGTGGGCGGTCGTTTATTTCAACTCAACTTGCAGAGTACCAGCAAACTGAGCGGATTTGGGGTGCCGTTGTCTTCAGCGAAGAATCTCAGCTCCAAGCGGGGCTCGGGCTCGGTGCCAAATCCTGTTAGTAGCTCGACAAGGTAAGTGTTGTTGGATAAATCGAACGGTCAATGGCAAGAATGTAAGCAAATCAAACAGAAAAAAATGACATGTTTATGTAAGGCCGCCAACAGCATCGTTTGGTATGCTTAATCGCTAGAAGCAGGAGGTTTCATGCAAACTCAGCTAGAAATAGGCGGGATTTTGCCTGGCGTTTAAAGCTTCGAAATGGCTTTTTATTGCGGCAATTGCTGACGAATGTTTCAAGTTTTATCTTTCAAGTAGACGGAACTGATTGTTGCAAGTGTAAGTAAGTTGTATGCGTAATTCAATTGCCTTTGATACAGACCCAACTTGATTGCAATGTAAAAAATAGATTTTAGGCTTAAAGTCGCGCAAATTGTGTCAAATGGCACATTCTTCGCAAATAAGCGAGAAATACAACGAGCTTATTGGAAAACACGTTACACTCTTCATTTTTGAGCGGTCACTGCGTTATTTTCATTTAATTCAAAATGGGAAATTCGGAAACTGAAGATACTACACTGCAAATGGTGGCGCATTAGCACCTGATCAAAAAGTTGAATTTTCGGAGATACAGGGTGTTAAAAGACGCAATTTTAATCCGTTTTCTTTTATTATTCTGAAAATGTTGTGACAATAGGTTTTCTTAGATTGCAAACATGATGCGTTACAATTTCTGCGCTGCATTCTTAATGAATCACCCTGTATACGCAAACACTTTATTTCCAAAGGAGACCTACAGAGAACGATTATTTCTTGTGTCATAGTCTTGCACAGTGAACACAACTATTTTGAAGCTTTAAACAAACCCCGATTGAACTCTTCTGATTTTACAGGTTTGAATTCGTTATCTCCCATCAATAATGTTGTTACAAACAAGAAATCGTTTCTAGTCCAGTCATATTAGTCAAAATCTCGGGATTCAAGATAACAAGTTGTAAACTCGTATAAACCTTTATTTTAACATCTTAAAATTGTCTGAAAACCTACTTATGATAGTGTGGACGCAACTGTACATAACTAAGGTCAAATGTCAAAAAAACTTCGTTTTGTGCTTTTGTTGCAAATATTTCGGTTCCGGTAAGTTTTACGGTAATTAAATGTATTATGAATATTGTAGTGGAGTATTGTATTGTAGCCCTGGTTGCTACAATTATAACTACAAGTTAAGTAGTAATTTGACACTTGTTTCGTTGATATTGGTGTTTATTGTGATTTGTTTTGTTCTAATCAACGTTTGCAAGCTTTTAAGGAAATAGAAACAGATCGAAAAGTGTGTAGGTATTGTTTTATGTTATAAATGTCATCAACTCCAATAAATAAACAAGTCTGACAAGTCTCAACTGTCACTCGACAACGAATAATTTGACGTTTTGCAGCACCCCTATCGGTAGTTGAATGCGCGAGTTCAACTACCGATGGGGACTGGCGGCTAAATGCGCATGCGTTAACTGCAGATTTTAGCTGCTGATCATCTTGGTGATTAACAGTGGAGTGGGTGCTATCTATCTCACTCTTAATCTATGCCGTTCATATTCATGTTTCGTATTTAAAATTTTCGGTATTTGAAATCTATTATTATGTATAGATATTAGACCATCGACCTTCCAAAATTGGTGCCTGTTTCTTCTGAAATTAGGCCTTCCCAGCATAAGGCGTGCAAAGGCAACATCAAATCCCAAAGTTCCTATTAAACATGCGAGTTCCTAGTGCTTTCATATTATTGATAAATGTTATTATACTGATGGCTTGTGCCTGATTTCGTCTGATCAAAAAGAGTAGATTTCATAGGATCTTTAGTACAACCATTGACTGTAGTACAAGTTTCTGCGTTAAGCGGTGTCTAAAATCTTATTTTTTTGAAGTGCATTTAAACAATCATAGGTATATCATATGCATATTCAATAACCACTTTATCCTCCAAGCTGTGAGCCTGACATAAACTTCCAAGCTGTGAGCCTGACTTAATTGCGGTATAAACAACCCATATTCATTTTTCGGAAGTGACGTATAAAAGAATTTCGAATACCATGTAGCCTTTACACACGAATTAAGGAAAATGCTAACCTCTATCAACAAATCAGGAAATCTGAAAATAAACAGCTGTACGCTTAGAGTCCGCGCATGCGCATTAAATGGATCATATTCCTACGTTTCCAGTCCGATGGGGCGCTGCAAAACGTCAAATTACTCGTTGTCGAGTGACAGTTGAGACTTGTTTATTTATTGGAGTTGATGACATTTATTACAGAAAACACGAGCTACACACTTTTCGATCTGTTTCTATTTCTTTAAAAGCCTGCAAAAGTTAATTAGAACAAAACCAAACAAATCACAATCCGATGTAAACACCAATGTCAACATAACACGTGTCAAATGACTACTTAACTTGTAGTTGTAATTTTAGGGGCCAGGGGACGTCTAGACTTTTGAACTCGCGAATAAAAAGTACGGCATTCCATTTAAAAAAAGGAAAATTAAATCTGTCACTTGAATTTGAGACACCCTGTATCAATCGTTATTATCTTAAGATAAACTAGACGTTAGTATCTACAACTTTTGTATTAAACATTTGTCTCCAAGTGTCAAATTCTGTCAATACGGGGTGGCCTAAGATCAATCAACAACCCTGTACAATTAAACACTACCTCTAAAACGGTTTAACGTATAGAAAATTTTTGAAACAAAAGTTGTAGATATTTTAATCCGCTACAATATTCATAATAAATTCAAATACCCTAAAACTTACAAAAAACGCGCAAAAAGGCGTTCTTTTTTTACCTTTAACCTTAGTTATCTACAGTCGCGTCCACACGATCATAAGTAGGTTTTGAGACAGATTTTAGGATGCTAAATAAAGGTTTATACGAGTTTACAGCTTGTGATCTTATTCCGAGGTGAAACACTAATTTGACTGGACTATTCGTATAAGCGCTGTATTTAACATTAAACATATCTGTTCATTGTGTAGAATTTGCCTTTGTGTTTTTCGTTTAGATTTTTTGTAGACTTTGGCAATTGGCATGTAACAAATTCAGAAACCTTCTCGATAACTACTACTATTAATTCTTCATGTTGTCGTATCACTTTCTTCAGTAAGCTTCAGTTGGTCCATCTTCGAGCCATCAAATAGATGTTAGATCATTAGGTGCGTGCGATGTCTCAGAGGCGAAATGTACATAGTTCTGTTTGAAAGCCCCCTAAACGTACTTAGGACAGATTTGTTGATGTTAACGTTGCAGCTTTTTGCGTTTTGGCTTGACTTGTATCAACTGAATTTGAGATAGTCAAGACAAAGCTCCAGGCTGGTTTTATGGTATATCTGTATCAGGTGGTGAATAGTTCAGAAGTGAATTTTACCATTCATCAGTACCACTTTGTATAGACGGCCATTATTTACATGCTATACATGTACTCACATATACTACTGTTTTCTTCCTTCCTTCTTCATCCTGCCCAGCTTTGTAGCTTCTCCGCTTGTTACTATTGTTGATTTTTGTCTAGTTGCACAACCGCGTCAGGTATGTTTTATGTTCAATTTTATGGTAATTTTTGGTCGACGAGATGTTTGGGTAAAGTATAAAAAAGAGACCAAAAACGACCATCATCAACCTTTGTCGTGTTTGGAAAATATATTGGGTGTGGTTAATCAATAAATGTTCCCCAACCCTCCTTTATAGGAGGAGTCAGCTGTGCTACTCGCCATGGCGCAGGGTAGCCACCAAACTTGGAGTGAAGTAAGTCCCTAGCCTAACCTCATCCTTAACGACTCATACTGTGCACGCCCCCTTTTCTATCGCGCTGGTTGGTAGCACTAACCGGTAGCTGTTTCTATCTGCCTGTATCTCTCAAGTGTGTGTGAGTGTGTAAGTGAGCACTCTCTTCCATCCTTCTCAATCTGTCTGGTTTTGCTTTGTTTACGTGGTTCTAAACCAAACTGGAAGATGGTATAAGGGTGGTTTTGAAAATGTTAAAATTTTTGCATTTGCCCGCTTTGGCGTGATCTCCACGGGTTACTTGTTGGCTCCATGTGAAATGAATTTAAAACAACGTTTGCATGCAATCGTCGCACTTCTCCTTTGATTTTAGTTGACGCCACCCTACCACACTCGATCACCTAAACTTTGTTATTTTATATTATTATTTTGGACTCCTAACCCATGCCATAGATACTTTCCAATGGTTTCATCTTTTTCAACGGTTTCTCGCTAATAAATGTTGTTATTTCAGCCAAATTCTTTGCGATGATAAAGATAGCGATTCGCATCATGGACATCACGACCCCACAAAGTGAGTAATTTGAATATGTTCGAATTACGTTCATTTTTTGTCCTTTAAGCGACTTTTTACTCTAAAAGTATTGTTTTAGTTTTGCTGACGATTTGGCGTTGGTTCATTCGGAATTCCTTTCCGACACAAGCGTGACCGCTTCGGATTTGTGCTCTGACCTCAGTCTGAGGCTGCACGAATCGGAACCCGAAACGTGGACACCGCATGTGGGCAAAGAAGTGTCCCGCAAGCTGAAAGAGAAGGAGGTGAAACGCCAAGAGCACATTTACGAGTTTATTTTGACCGAAAAGCATCATTGCATGACTTTGCTGGTGATGCAAAAGGTACGTAACTGACTAAGTTCAACTAAGCGTCCATTTTTCTATTGTTCTATCGGCTATTTTACTGTTTTTCAACAACAGAGCTGAAGTCGCATTGAGGTCTGTTTCTTTCCCCCCCATCTAAGAATTGGCCAAAGCCTAAGCGCGGTTTTGAAAACAGTCGACTATTTTTGCACATTAGCATTTACTGAGAGAACTATAAACTTTTTGAAAATGGGCGCACTTCAATTATTTGTCCAAAGAAACTAAAGGTCCGCTACTTTAACGGTTCTCTAAGTATGGGCAAAAATCTAAGCGCGGCTTTGAGAAAATAATTGCAAGATGGTTGATTTCCTTGGGAGTTCGGTCTGGGTAGTGGTGAAGAAAAAGACAAACTTTTTTAGCTACCAAAGTTTCGGCAATTTATTGACGCCTTCCTCAGGGTGCTAATTTTTTGACCATAAGAAGGCTGGGAACCCTCCAAACTACTCTATAATTTTTTTGAACAGCTTTATTAAATATTTAATCTTTTATCACATTGTTTGGTCATAATTTATTTGTCTTGGATTGCACAAAACATTTATTCACGATCAACATGGTTTTCTGCAGAAATAAGGAGACATACTACACTAAGTGCAAATTAATGATGAGCTCAAAGCACTGTACATCTAATTATAGAAGTAATGTGACTAAAAGATTAAATATTTCATCAAGCTGTACAAAAAATGATAGAATATTCTGGAGGGTTCCCGGCCTCCTTATGGTCAGACAATTCTCTTCTATTCTATTCGAAGAGCGGCTATGCACGTTTTCCGTATTCCATTGCTATCAAAAGATGGAATTGATGAAAATTCTGTCACTTGAATGCGTCCAATTTCTTTTTTTAGAAGATTGATTTTTTCCCAATATGTTTAACGAAAAACGCACTGAATTGAACTGCAAAACGGAATAGTGGTGAAGATCAAAAAGTAAAGAGAAATTACTTAAAATCTACATTTTCCTCAAAAAGTTTCAACTAATCTTCCTGAGAGAAACTACAATTCAATATAAAAGAAACTTGGCTCTATTAAAAGAGCGACTATGCAGGTTTCCAACTAGCGCAAATCTTCTTTAGTCAACTGACAACGAAAGTTGGATAAAGTTATCCGCAATCCTTAAACAAGTCAGGAATGCTGCAGATATTCTCCAAAAGCCCCCAAGGAATTTTTCAAAGGGAAACATTTACTTTACATAGAAGACACTTAAACCTCCAAAAGTCCCGTGAAAATAACCCAGCAAATTTCGACACCATGGCAAAAATAGAGACGCTGATCCACCACCTCCACACCGAGACTGCAAAACCCCAGAACCAGCTAATTCCCTACTCAATAGGTTTTTTCCTGTTCCCCCATTTGAGAGCGTCGAAAAAGGGGTATCAACTGCAAAGACATCGCTAAAAGCCTGATAATGACTGCAAATTTCCAGTCTTTTAGAGCCGAGTTCTGGGCATAGAGGCAAATAATTGAGTCTTGTCTAATTTACTCTCATTAAGTTATCAGCTGTCTTTGCCGAGTTGGCTGCCTTTTTCTCCTAACTGGATACTTTGCCCCATTTGGAAACGCGCTTTCAATTAAATAATTTCCTTCGGAATTTTTCTCATTGCAAAACTGAAATAGAAAAATAACTTTGGGCAAAGTGCAAACTCGCGATTTAATGCAAAGTTTTAGATTATTAGAACGCCTCGAAGTGCTAATTCAGAACGAGGGCCGTTAATAGAGTGGAAAATGTTTCAAGATTTTGTGAGAAAAACTCGATCGTTTATCTAAAATGTTCGCAGCGCAACAGAATGGAAAAGTCTGATCCGACCACGTGGTCTGGAACAGTCACATGTGTGCGGCCCCTACAAATTCAGCCACTAAGCGGGAACCTACTTGTTTCGAGCACCACGAGAACCGCGAACCATCCGGCTAACGCTTTCATGCTCCTGCTGGCTTCCCCTTCATGTCTTTATATCACGGCCGAAAGCGCGAACTGCATTCCCGTCTGGATGCCTGACGTCACGGGATTCGCAGACCGACTGGATCCTGCGAGGAAGAGTCCTGCCGAGGCCGGTCGACGGATCAGGATCCGAGCAGGACCGCATCCAGAAGGGAACCTGCTAAACCGAAAAAAAAACATGTTGATTCATTAAACACCAACAAGTGCTTTTTTGTTGATTTGCAAATGGCCAAAAGCGAAAATTATCCGGGCATGGTTTATAGCAAACTCGCAATAGTTTCGACAGAAAACTCGAAGATTTTGAGGATGCTAACCGTGCGTGTTAGAGAAATGTTTGGCTGCTAATTCCTATGCTAAACTGCTCAACAAACTTAAAAAATGCCAAAAAATTAGTCGACATTTGTCGGTGTAACGTATTTTTTGTTGAGCAGTTTAGTAGAGAAATCGCGTTTTTATCCTGATTATTCACTTATTTCTAATGCAATTGAATTTAATTCAAAACTGGCGATTATAATTTGCATAAGTTCAGTTTCTTGACCGATATCAGGGTCGGGAACTATCCGGCCTTCGTATGGTCAAACAATTAGCACCCTGAGGAAGGCGGCAATAAACTGCCGAAAGGTTGGTAGCTAAAAAAGTTTTTATTTTTCTTCACCACTACCCATATCGAATTTTTTTAGCGCCATTTTTTTAGAGAACTTTGGCCATCAATATCGTAGGAACCAGGCCCTTTTTCTGAGTTCGTTGGTCTGATCGTTTTCTTTTGATCAAGTGCTTACAGGACTATAATAGACTTGACTGTTTGTAGATTTTCGTTGACGGTTTGCAAAAGTACTTCAACCTTGGCCCGAATTTGGAAAGGATGTTTCCCCGACTAGCGGATCTGACCGAATTGCACCTGGAGCTGCTTTCGAGACTACGCCAGCGCCAAAGAGAAAGTCCAGTGGTCAGTTCCATAGCGGACATTTTGCTGGAACAATTCTCAAAAGAGCACGCCGTCAAGCTCAAGTCTGCTTACGGTAACGCTCATTCTTAGCGCTAAAAAATCACTTTTATTCATCAACAAACTGGTTTTGTAGGTGAATTTTGTAGCCGACACAGAGACGCGGTGGAAATCTACAAATATTACGCGCAACAGGACGGGCGTTTCGGCGAATTCGTTAAACATTGCCAAACGAATCCGCTGCTGAAGAAGAAAGGCATACCAGAGTGCATACTGTTCGTTACCCAAAGACTCACCAAATATCCCCTATTGATAGAACCGTTGATAAAGACTAGCAAAGATAACAAACAGGAGCAGGAGACTCTGCAGAAGGCGCTTTCCTTGGTGAAGGAGATTTTAGTGGAAGTGGACGCCCAAGTGGCCGAGAAGGAGAAAGAGGACAGAAAGCTAGATATTTACCATAGAATCGACGCGAAGTCGTTTACGATCCATCGAGGCCACAAGTTTAAAAAGTCGGACATTCTGCAAGGAAATCGGTCGCTTAAATTCGAAGGAGTGGCCATGTTGATGCAGGGGCGTGGCAAGATGCAGGTGGTCTTGGTGATTGTGCTTACGGATGTTTTATTTTTCCTGCAGGAAAATTCCACCAAGTACAGCTTTTTCACTCCAGACAACAAGGTAAAACGTCTGCGTACTAAACCGATCGTCTGGGATTATCAGAATTTTTCCATTGCCGTTGCAGGCTGGCGTGGTTTCGTTACAGAAACTGCTTGTCAGAGAAAAGGCCGGTCAAGATTCCAGAGGAATTTATCTAATCTCATCGAATCCAGCCGATCCGGAGATGTTTGAGCTGAAAGTGCACAAGCCCAAAGACAAACAAGTCTGGATACATGCAATCAGGTAGGAATTCTCTGAATGCCGGGAAACGTGTCCTGACAAAATCATCGATTTTCGCAGGGAAGCGGTTCAAAACTGCCCAGAAGAGGAGGAAGATCCTTCCACATTGAGCGCAGAGGATAGACAGGGTCTTCTAAATGCCAAGCAGCACCAAGTGAGAAATCTCATCGGTGAGTAACAGATTCTGCATTTTTTTGAAGACTTCGGCTCAGAGTTTTCTCAGTTGTAGATGTTTTATGAAGGCAACAAGTAATTGCCCAATAGATAGTTAAACTGCTCATCAAAATAAACATTACGCGGACAAACTTTGGAACTGGATAGATTCTGATTGCTGACAGGCATTTGATTTCTATTTGAAGCGTTATTTAGTGCAATTACTTTTCGGTTAGTACGCGTTTTTGCAACAAATCACTGTTGCAGATGAACTTTCTGCAGGGTGGCAAAAGAAACAATGCAAAATTGATTAAACTTCCACAGGCTCTCAGTTGGACAAAAAAGCAACACCACCAATATCAAGACAGACCTCGTGTCTCGAAGGTTTTGAATTTTTCACATACCTCGTTTATCAAGTGATCTTAAAAAAAATTTGCCATTTCAGTGACAATTTTTTCCTTTTTAATCAAAACGCTCTAAGCAATCCGAATTTCTCCAATTCCAAATTTAGGGCAAATTTGGGTGCTGAGCAGTTTAGATAGGGTAGACTGAGTCATTTAACAATCGGACCATATTTTTGTTTCATTGCTGCCAGCCAGCAGTTGAGGCTAATTTCCTTTTAAATTAATCGAGCGTCAAAAGTTGCTTGTTGCAGTCTTTTGCTTAAAGCTGGATTTATAAACTCTTGCACAAGAATTAAGTTTGAAAAATATTACTCGCAAACGTAAGTTAATACTATTAAAAACACCGCAGTTTACCAAAAACCCCATTTTTTATTTCTATGTAATTAATATAAGCAGTTAAAAACTGTATAATTCAAATCATTCTTGTAACGCGCCGTCATTGGCTGGGACCAGTTGTGACGTCAAGTAGCTAGTCGGTCGTGGCGGCTGCAATGTGGAGCATGTAAACATGTAACATCAGTCTTGATTTTGTCGTTAAAACGCTTCTATAGTGTATTATGAGAAAAAGATAATCTTTGAAAATGACAGACGCAGGTTTTGTAAGAGGACAATCTGACATTTTACCACTAGTGGATATGTTTATGGTGGCATCTTACATTAAAAACACCGAAAGTTTTACTCTCTATAGACAAAATAGACAATAGTTTTACTTATATAAATCGATAAAATGTTAGGTTGGGGTTGCAAATTTTCTTCTAATTTTCAAAATTCAAACAGTACCTATTGAGCAAAATGTAAGTGATTCAACAAAAAATTGTTTCTTGAAAGTATTGTTTTCATGCTGGTAAAATCTAAAATACATCATTAAAAGTGATTTGGCATTACTATAATGCAGCCGAGAAACAAACAAAATACAAATTCAAAATATCTATCCGTTATACAATAGACAAAATCAAATATGTTTTTTATACTTACATTAAAATGATCTTCACATACATGGGCAGTATCTTCTCAGAAATATCCTTGTGAGCTCTTCTGCATGCCTTTAGCCATTTTAAACGCCGGCTTTTATCTCGTGGTGCACGAATAAATAGCTTATCTGGCGTTTTAAAAGTTGTACTAGGACACAGTGGCCCCATACAGCAGTTGTAATATTGTTTTTGTGTTGTTTCCATTATTAATAAAGCACAGCAGAAATTCTAAACAGTCAAACACCCAGACAATTCAACGACAAGCCGAATTCCCGTGTTGCCTGTCGATCGAACGAACTAGCGCTATGACGTCACGACAATTCCTGCGCGTTTAGTGTCGTTTCAAATGAATAGCCTGCGGTCACAACTTTAATTGTTTTTTGCAAATGAAATATTGCGATTCGAGGGCTGATATTTGGTATGCGCGATTTCTATACATATGCAAATATATTAAAGAAGTAAAAAAAATGTTCAAGTTTCCAGTTGTCGCCGTTCGAGAAATGAACATACGCGCGTATCAGTTTATAAACCCGGCGTTGCTTGAGGTTCGTCGTTTCCATGCCGTTGGAAATTAACCTAATTTTATTTCGCCGGCGACGTCGTTCGTGCAGTTGGCGATTTAACCAATGAGAGAAAGAGTTCAAATCACGATAGTGAATGAGTGACATTTGTCAAAACGAGGCCGTGTTTTGTTTATGTTTCTGTCCAGATGGCAGAACAAGTTATTTTCGTTGAGGATCCAGACTTTAGCAGCTTGTTAATAGAGCGTATTATGGGAGTTTGTATAATTTAGGGCACAGAAACTGTAAAAATGGGTGTCCTTGATTTGCGACCGTGCTAAATACATCTGGTATGATGGTGAAACAGAAATTCAAGCATGTTGCTAAAGACACTTTTCCTTCAATAGCAAATATGTAGCTAAAATGAACGTAAAAGCAAGTAGCTTGCGTCTGGATGAAGACAATATCGACATTTTGATATTAAAACGATTTAAAAAAGTTGGATTAGTGTGTGCATTATTGGATCAACACAACAGACAACATAACCAACATTAAACCACATGAGCATAAAATCTGTCAATCTGACTAATCGTCGGGAACGGCGAACTGCACAATATAAATCATGAAAACGCGAACAACAGCAACGGCAACTGCACGAACTATGAACGGAACGAGCAGAGTTTATATATCCAACTTAAACGTTTCAGTATCGATGACTGAATGAATAAAAAAACGTGGAAAACGATATTAAATCAATCTAAACCAATGTATATCATGTATATAAACCTTTCGCATGTAAAACGTTGACCTAGTCAGAGTATATATATTTGTCTTGGTCTGTGTGCTGAACAGAAGCAGACGCGGACATCGAAGGTAATAATAATCTGACCTAAAGGTATCTGCTTGCACGTATCTTTGATTGAAAACATTTCACAAAAAATATAGTTGGCGCTTTTGCGTTTATCCGTTGAATTCAAAAGTGGTTTTGCATGTGTTATTCTAGGTTAGTGAAACAGAAGTTAGTAGTCGATTTTCCGCACAAACCGCTTTTCTTTGAGGGTGAGTGAGACGACTCTTTGAGTTTGAATTTGTGAATAACCAATGTGAATATTATTTGGTAGTGTATGCTAAAACCAATGATATTTCACTTCGATGGTGCCATTAAAAAAAACACGAAATGAAGCTCATTTGCATGTGAGAAATTGCGATTTTAGCCTTTACATAGTTAGTAGATTCCCATCCAATTTTTCGTGTAATTCAGACCCCGACAATTCTGCTTCAACTAAGCACTTTAGCATGCCAATTTCGCTCTTCGGTTTCAAGTTGCAGCTAATTTACTGATTTTTACAGCTTTATTGAGGCAAAACGACATAGAACAGGCGCTGCTATTGGAGGAAAAAATGTCGCTGCAACTGAAGCTGTTGGCTGCCTCCGGTTTGGAGCCTCCATCACCGCCTGCGTACAGGCATTTGGTCAGCGAGAGCGCCGATACTGGCCAGATGTGGAAAGAAGTGCTGACTGCGGTGCAGGTAACTTTTATTTTATAAAAAAACATGGAGTTTCATAAAAAAACACTCTGTGTAACGCAAATAATTTTAATGAATGGCCACTATTGATGCCAATATCGCATAAAAATAATTTCGAAGCCGTAATCTTCCACCACCCATTCCGGTAAACAGGGTGATTCAAAATTGGCCTCGTTCTTGTGGAGGGGTTGTCTGGCGGTGTTTGAGGAGTGCAGAAAAATTAGTAAAAAAATTAATTGTTATTAAAAACTGAGAAATTTGCAAAAAACTATATTAGAAAAACGGCAACAATGTTTTTCAAGATAATCTCCCTAATTAACATACCTGTTGCTTAGTAATTATTTAAAACTCCGGTAACCATGGATAAATAGAGAGTGGCAATAAGATAGACAAGGATAAACGGTAAATTCAACAGGAATCGTTGAATGACGGAACCTAT